TTCCTTCTAGAGGGTGTACCTGTGTAAGGGGGAGTGTGGCTACTGACTATTGTTGTAGGGAGAAACAACAACCTCAGCTTTCTGCTCCATCCATCCATCTTCTTCCACTTATCCAGGGTCGGGTAGCAGTCTAAGTAAGGAGGCCCAGACTTCCTCTCCCCAGCCTCTTGGGCCAACCCATCTGGGGAAATCCTAAGGCGTTCCCAGGCCAGCTGAGAAAAATAGTCCCTCCAGTGTGTCCTGGGTCTTCCCCAGGGCCTCCTGCTAGTGGGACGTGCCCGGAAGACCTCATCAGAGAGGCATCCAGGAGGCATCCTTACCAGATGCCTGAACCATCTCAACTGGTTTCTTTCAACAAGAAGGAGCAGAGGCTCTACTGAGTTCCTCCTAGATGACTGAGCTTCTCTCTCTAAGGGAGAGCCATGACACACTGCAGAGAAAACTCATTTCAGCCGCTTGTATATGTGACCTCCTTCTTTTGGTCATGACCATAGATGAGGGTAGGAACATAGATCGACCGGTAAATCGAGAGCTTCACTTTTTGACTCAGCTCTCTTCATCATGACAGGCAGGTACAGCGCCTGCGTCAGCGCCTCCATCAATTTCCCGTTCCCTTTTTCCCCCATTCATGAAGAAGATACCAAGACACTTAAACTCCTCCACTTGGGGCAGGACAACCGCCCCGACCTGGAAGTCGACCTAATCCGGCTCAAGTTCATGGCCTTGGATTTGGAGGTACTAATCCTCATCCCGGCCGCTTCACACTCTGCTGCAAACCATTGAAACCAATAGGACCACATCATCTGCAAAAAGCAGAGATGCGATCCCTTGGCCAACAAAATGGATCCCCTCAACACCTTAGCTGTGCCTAGAAATTCTGTCCATGAAAGTAACGGTGACAAAGGGCAGCCTTGGCAGAGTGAAACTCTCACCAGAAATTAGCCCGATTTACTGCTAGCAATGCAGACCAGACTCTGACACTGGTCATACAGGGACCTAGCAGTGTGTATCAAAGGGCCCGGTACCCCATATTCCTGGAGAACCCGCCACAGGGCCCCCTGAGGGACACGGTCGAACACCTTCTCCAAGTCCACAAAACATATGTAGACTGGTTGGGCGAACTCCCACACACCTCCAGGACCCTGCTGAGGGTGTAGAGCTGGTCCAGTGTTCCATGACCAGGACGAAAACCATACTGCGCTTCCTGAATCCGACGGACCCTCCTCTCCGGGACCCCTGAATAGACCATACCAGGGAGGCTTAAGAGTGTATCACTATAAACAGTGTTGGTGCTGTACTGCTTCCCTCTCCTAAGATGCCGGATGGTGGACCAGAATCACCTCAAAGCCGTGCTGAAGTCTTTCTCCATGGCCTGTCCGAACTCCTCCCACACCCGAGTTTTTGCCTCAACAACCTCCCGAGCCTCATGCCATTTGGACTGCCTGTACCCATCAGCTGCTTCTGGGGTCCCACAGGTCAAAAAGGCCTGACAGGACTCCTGCTTCAGCCTGATGGCATCCCTCACTGAAGGTGAAACCCCCAACGGGTTCAAGGGTTGATCCATCCATCCATCCATCCATCCATACTATGATGTAACACGGTTGATCAAAAGGCTGTTAGTGATCAGCAGCACACTGCTGGTGGATATTTAGTGTAACATGGAGCAGAAAGCTGCGGTTGTTGTTTCTCCCTACATCCAGTGGGTGGCGCAGGTTACTACAATTGATAGTAGCCAATCTAGAAGTTACTTTCCTTCTAGCCACACACCCACTAGAAGGAAAACCAGTACAACACTTTCATTATATTGGCTAAGAGGTTGACAGGTGACAGTGCATTTTTGTTCCAAAGGCAAGCAAAGAGTTCTGCAAGAGCACGAGGAGAAAATGTAAAGTATTAAAAGTTTTGAGAAGAAAGACATGTAATCCTGCTTTAAAACTGAAAATGTGTGCGCTCAAATAATGGGAGAAAACTTTCCTCATACAGAATGTAGACAGAAGACAGAAATGGATCAAACATGACCTGTCTGTCCTATTGAACACATTCGTTTAAAAATGCCATATACCAATGCTTATTAATAACTTGTACAGGAAGCTCAGCTTTAACATGTGTGTTGGGGTGTGTGTGAAGGCTTCCCACTGGCTGCTGTGTTGAAGAACCAGGAAGGTTTCCAGCAGTTCTTGGTCAGGAATCTTTCCCTCTCCAACTCCACAGCAAGCACGCTGCTCAACAGCTCAGTGAACCTCCAAGAGGTGAGTCAGTGTTACTGCATCACACTGATACCAGGTAACTGCATACTCATGACCTCTGGAACTTCCTTCTGTTCATCTGTAACTGGAATATCACGCAGGATTGGATCAAGATGGTTTCATCTGAACAAACACATGACATGATTTAAAAGATAGTCCAAGCATAAGCGTGCTAACATTCTACTCCAAATAACTGAAATTTTGATGTTTGTTTATTGCAGTTCATTTTATCTAGTTAGGTTTCATGGGAAAGTTCTTTATTATGAAATCTTTCTGTAACCAACCAATGGTGCAGAGGAAAACATCAGATAAAGAAGCCATGATGGAATAAACAGCTGAAACATGGATGCCATATTTAAGCTAGGATGCTCGAGCTTTATTTGCAACACTTGACAGGCTCACAAACCCTCCTATGACATTTTTGGCTGAATTTCAATCTAATACAGCCTGCAACCAATTTTCCAGCTTCTTTTGAGATAAAATCCAAAAGAATCAGAGGATTA